TTTTTAACTGCTGCCCAGCTTAGATCGAACGCTCCTCAACTGATCGATAGCTTTCTAAATATGACTGTGATTCCCTTCATTTCTGACTTCTGATTTGACTGCGTTTGTATGCTTTGATCATAAAGTTGCTACATGTAATGGTATTGTCGAACTCCGAATACCTGTGACACTTTTTCTTGTGAACTATTTCCGCCAGAATTAAGAGAATCTTGATGTACTGAGCCATTTACTTGACGCCATTTGCACTAATAGCTTCAGGAGATGATCTCACAACTTTGGAGATGTAAATAGTCCTTGAATTGCACGTTTACAACACTAATAGATCTCATTAACTATATTATGCTTGAAAATACATTTGGTAAATGAAAACTATGTACGAGACGTTGGGGACGATAAATCCCCAAAAACTCACAGTTTGTAATTTTATCTTGTGGAGCTTGTATGCAGATGTATACTTGGACATTTCTTACCACCCACGCACATAGTGGATTGACGAATTTATCGATTGAATGTTTAAATATTTCAATGACAGTCAATTGACGAACTTTCGATTAAATGTTTAAAAGCTCTATGGCAATATCGATGTATATATATTTGTATATATACGTTTTAAAATTGTCTTTGTAAAAAATCGCTCATTTTCTGCATGTTGCAGAATAAATTTCTACTCTAAGCTTGGTCTTCTCTCTCTAGATAGCGAGGCTGGGACGCGTCAATAGTTAGCTTATTGGTCTTGATCATCAAATCTCGTTCTTGTTCACAAATTAAGTGAAACAGTGATAGCTTCAACCCATAACACGAGGACGATATCTCAAACCTCAGCACCAACTGATCACCATCATCTCATGAAAAACCAACAACAATTTATTATAATTCATATAAAATAATGCTAATAACACCAGTACCAAACTTTAGATTGAGCGAAACATAGTGCAAGATAAGAAACATCAATTAGAATGTTATGAGATGACGAAAATGACATATATTCTCCCACTGTCACACAACCATGGCTGGTCGGTAATATAAATTCTGATTATCTATATTCAGATAATATTACCTTGGATGAAATCAATCATGTGTGCTTTTCGTCTTTTAAGTGGTTATGAATTGAAAGCAAAGTGATGGGTAGTATTGAAGATGACACAGGTATTCAGTGTTTGACAACGCTTCTACCAGTAACACCTTCTAATACGAAGCACACCCACCAAGTAAAATCAAAAGACAGAAGTGAGGAGATCGAAGAAATATTTGATAAGCTATCAATATATCGAGGATCGTCTGATCTAATCTGGCTAGCGATTGCGGTTGATGTTGAGCACGGCGTTACCACACGTGATCTGGTGCGGATGCCTGACCGAGCGCCTTCAGCTAGATGAGTCCACTAAAACATATGGTCAGCATCCAATGTCGAAAACTTACAGAGCTATTTATTTTGGGGATTTATTTACCGCTACAGTATTCGAAAATTACAAAGGTGGCTATAAAACCTTCAAAACGTTTTTGCTCCCATCCTTTGGTCAGTTTGGTTATCATTTCCAATTTCTTTTCCATCTCTACTTTTACTCACTCTTTGTAGTCTTCTATGTGCAAATACCAGGAAGGGAAAATTTACGCTGCGTTATCGGGCGCTTTAAAATAAACTACCGACGACCAAGGTATTAAGCAGTAAGAGGAATGTTTTTTATTTTAAAATATCGAGTAGCTTTTAAAACATATTTCGACTTTTAAGACTTTTTTTAAATCCACAGAAGGCAATAATGTAATGATTACAACGCAATACTTTAAGCTTGTGGCTCATAAATATTTCAATATCAGGATTATCTAATTATGTCGTCAAGTACATTGTAGATCACCAACGTAGATGATCTATGTCGAAATGATTGGAAGTAGATACAAGTGGAGGTGAGACCACTGCCGCATGGGCCAGTCCATGGTGTACGATCAACTGATGCGCGTTGGTTATCCTTGACATTGACGAGGATTGATGATTTTGTTCGATATTCAATGACCCAACTGCTGGATGATTTGGCTAGGGCTTAGTGGAATTTTACTTGCCCTACAACATGAACTGCCATAGAATCTAGCTCACGTAGTGTCTGCCAATGTTAAATACCCAATACTCTTAATTATCGACCCCTTTATTAACAGAACAGGCAGATAAAATCTTCCGAAACACGACTATTACAGTCACACTTTTGATACTCAAATATTATTTATTGAAGACTTGGATGACGGTAAAGTACACTACATCAACTAAATGCAGTAGCCTGATATCAGGTAGCCACTGGCAGACTAAAAATACAAGTAAAACAATCTATAAAACGTTTGTCAGAAAGGCCATCTTTATTGACAAAATACGTGAAATGATTAGAAGCAGTTGTATAATTTACACGATTCACACTCCAGGCAAATTCTGAACATTGTACGATTGATCCTCTGAGACTGTTTGAAATCCATGCCCTGAACACATTTCGTACCGGACTTTTACTATTTAATTGTATATAAACAACTTAGGTTATCTATGTCGAGTGGTTGGGAGCAACTTGAGTTAGACGGGAATGTTGTGACTAACAGCTAACTTCAAAGCCACACCTCGCGGTCAGCACCTAACGTTAATTACCCCTTCGTCGTACCAAGGTACTATGGATGCTTTGAAGCTCATACAACACAAAGGACGTATTGAATAGAGTAGGTACATGAGAAAGTGTGACCACCACCGCACAAAACAGACCATGGCGAACGATTAACTGATGCATGTTGTTTGTCCTTTGACAACGACTGATGATCTGTGCGGTATTCAGTGACCCAAATGCCGGATGAATTGGCTAGGGCTTAGTGACATTTCACTGGCCATACATGATTATGCAATGGGATTAGACTTGGAAGAACACAAAACTAGCTGTACTGTTGAACAAATGAAGTTAGATTCTACTATCAAAAGTCCACCTACGAATTCGAAAACATTCATTCTCAATATACGTAAGAAATGAGTACTCTGTAAATTTGCAATGAAATTACTATCAGAAGGTTATACTTCATAGTGTTAACGTATATATATATTTATATGTGTACGCTGAAACATGAGCATTTCAGTATGACATTCGTGAAATCTTTGTAACAGAAAAAAGCTAAGTGGTTAGTGAGTATTATAAGGAATAGTTTTCTGGTTTCGCTCTCTCAATGTATATTCAACAACTAATTAGAAAATGACCAATACAACACTCATGATATTTGAACAGTAAAGTTTATTTTTCGTATGAAACATCTTTAGGAAACAAAATCAATAGTGTCAGGCTCAATCGAAATTTCACTACTCTAACACCACACATTCTCTTTTTATGTTTAAATGATTCATTCAACAAAAAGTTATTGTGATGATCTAAGCAACCAATTACTTGGGACTCATACAACAAAACGGTTTTCACAAAAATCGGCTTCCGGTTTTTGGTCTTTAAACTATAACGATTAAGAAGTAACATTTCACGAATGCATCATACTTATGGTACGTACTGTTTCTTATCTTGATTTTAGTAGTTTTCCTTGCCGATGTTATCGCATCCCATCTGATAATACGTTATCTTATGAACCTGATCAAGTTCTCACTAAAAGCGAGAAAGCTCTGCAGAGCTATTGGTTTCCAATATCAAGTTTTAAAGCAACAATCGAGCCTTAGTGTAGACTACATAGGAAAAAAATGTCACCTAATATTCGTCGAAATTATTTTGTGATCTTAATACAATGACAGACTACGTAAATATGAGATGTAAAAATCATGCAACCCAACGGACTCTGAACCAAACCACATCACTTCAAGTACGTAGTAGACACCACATAATAGGCCGTTCAAGGTCATTGAAACGAAATGGCGAGCGTCTTTGTGAGAACCTAACGTCCTAACCGTGCTCAAACGCGTATGAATTTAGTGAAAACGAGCAAAATTTAAATGGTGTGAAATCAGGTAGAAGAAGATTTAATGTAGAAAAAATGATGATCTGTGATTAGTGTGAAAATAGTAAAACTGGAGTTGTATGTCTCATTTAGATGCTAAATAATTTCAAAATGTCAGTTTAAAATATTTCTCATAAGTCATGTAAACTGAGTTGACCATAAAAATTTATCTCAAACTTTTAGTGGCCCGTGATCTGACTCCAATTTGATCTTAATGATTGGTTGCTATCGTCTATCCTCGTATATAATCATTGACTTAAATCGCGTTAGTTAATAACGGAATTAAATAAGTCAAATAACGAGAATGGAGTTTTGAATGCATATATTTCGTATAAATGTTGATTAGACAAACGAACGGAGGAACAATGCGAAGATTAGAAAGCGAAGCTAAATTGACGTGCCGTGGAGATGACTAGTAAGCCAACTCTCCCTTAACAAAGAGTTAATCAATATTTATAAGCACACAAAAATAAATTACAGACATGTGATGAGTAACGGGATAAGAAGTGTACATACGCCTATGCGCTCATACAAAGACAGTCAAGATATTGATAAGCGAATTATTAACAAGGTCAGAATGTGACTCAAATAGAATGAATAGAATGGGCTGTCCGAAAGTTAGAATAATAAGGCATTTGGGCTTAACATAATGACAGACACTACAAACTAGTATTGTCGCAACAACTTACGGAATTTTGATTTTAAGCTTACAAACATCCACATAGTGTTCCACACCCTCTTAATCAAATATATATCTTTAGTTCTAAATTACTGCAATAATATAAACAATTATTATGATCTGGGTTTATACAAGTAATAGGTATGTGAGGCCTCAAAGAAAAATACAAACTGAATAATCTGTCTTAACCTAAGCTTCTGGTGAAATATCTACTCCAATTATTCTTAAACTTTCATAGGATGTTATTTCTCTTAAAAAGTAATGACAATGATAAGGCGAAGAAGGTCATATCTCTCGAAAAGCTTGTAAATTTTATATCTTGGACTCAATTAATTAATCCCGTCAAAATGTCGATTTCAGAAGGGTTACAGTTCGTTAATTATAAGTTGTATGATTGGTATGAGCTAGGTTACAAAACATGAGTTACACAAATACAGACAAACATCGACCGCGAGCCATCAAACAAAATTTATATCCCACAAATATTTAGTTTGATAATAAACCATGAAAGGATTAGAGGAAAATTATACTTCAAACAGTATATGGGTGTTTTATCAAAATGATACTATTAAAGTTTGACGCCAACATTTTAGTTAGAGGAATATTCCCGAACAAGGTTAGGTACATATTCTCCAACTTACACAAGCATATAACATAAGTGGTGTATTAAAAATCAGGAACAAAAACAAGACTAGGCGCTTACGTTAGACATTCATAATACACATATACCACGTAAGAATAAATAGTGAAAAACACCTTTAAACCGACCATTTCTGTCCATCAAGGTAAGAAACATTAAATTTAAAGTGAAAAAAAAGAACATTTGATTGGAATACGTTTTTCATTCGTGTGAGTTCCATAGGGTATTAGTTATAAGAAATAAAACGAACCTAAACAAAAACAAAATATAGAAGGTTTACAGCCAATATGGTTTGGAAAATATTCCATAAAATGGTGTCAATGAAATCTGCTGTTTTTCTTCAGTTTCAAGAAAGTAATATTATAACCAGCATTGCAAATAGAACTACAATTTTCTATTTGGTAAAATTGAGAACAAAAGAAGAATATATCTTGTAGCGTATATTGTTAAACGTGACTGTGTTACGAAATATTCAAAAAGGTATAGGAAACATGAAAAACAAGTGGATGTTTTTATTAAAAGCATCTGAGTCAAAGTTTGATATACATGAAAAATTCACAAAATTACGAATTTTTATTTAATGATCAATATCAGGAATACATCCGCAAAAGAAATACAGGTAGCGATGGTACTTATCTCAGTTAGTTAACAAAATAATGAACAGTTTATTCAAGAGAGAGAGAGAGAGAGAGAGAGAGAGAGAGGATGAACGACTACAGAGAGAAAAAACTCAACAACTTATGATGAAGACGATAATTGACTCACATCAAAAACTAAGAATAATAAGTCAGAGATTTATGAGTTGATTTCTGTCAACGAAAAACAAAGAATAATGCTAAACGCAAAAGCTGGAAAATGTTTAAAAAGTTATTCTAAACGAATGTAGTAGGAAAACATAACAGTCATTGAAGAAAGACCAACATTATAGTGTATTTAATCATTTTAAAATATAAACATGGAAAGAACAAATCATACATTTGAAATGAAAATAAACACATAATCAACTTTTATCGCTCTCACTGGTTTGATACGAATATCGAACAGGATATTGATCTTCATAAAAAAAACGAGTAAATAACAAGATATCTATTCTCAAAAACACGAAGAAACAAATGAGGTCATAATTAAGATAAATGGATAGCATGAGGATAAATCTTTTCTTGATTTTGAATGTTAATGATATTGAAATCTTATGAGTTGTATGAATATTGTATGTGAATGAACGTTAAGTGAATTCATTCATCATTCAGTTGAAAATAGATTACATAATGACAAATTAAATTGATCTGAATATTGGAACGCTGACAAATTATAAGCATAGATATACGTGTATAATATTTTTCTGTTTACACTTCATTTAATCATACTTCTAGTATATACTCAGGGTTTACATAAGAAAATCCAGAAAATTCAGTTTGATCCAAATTCATTATGAATAATTTATCTGTTGGAGTTAGTTTAGGTGGTTCTTTAGTGAATTCTGAGTCAAAATTATTCACATCTCGTTTGTTTTTCTAAAATACAAATGGATAAATAAAATGTAAATCATGCGATTTTAAGCTAAAATTGTCTACCTTAGAACTGCAATAAAAATTATCTCATATGTTACTTAATTAATAAGCCCTTTATGTATGATTATGATATCAGATAACGGAGCTTGTATGATTGAAAGCTTGGGAAAGAAAAATGATTTGTATAAGCTTGATAAATAAACATTCTACTTGAGTGAGCAAAAGGCACTTAATATTGGTTTCAGAAAGAGTTAGAATTCTTCAGAGACAAAAGGTTTACTGACTATTTTCAGCTTCGTATATATTTTAATTTGAAATTAATGACGTATCAGGTACTGATTAGTGTTGATATTTATTGACACGGTAAACTAGTAGTATATAAACAGTCATTTTTATAAGTTTTACTAGTAATCAAGTTGTTCGTCAGACTGTCTTTCAACATAACATAATCTTCAGCTAAAAAAAAATAAAGCAGTAAATGATAAAGGATTTCATCATATTACAAATCCACAATTTATGTATCTAAGATATAACGCACATACTTTGAAGTTGTAAATATGTTTTAGAAAATAGAAACCACAGAGAGCAGTATTAAACAAACAATTATTACTGTTAAAGTTCAGTACAGAGTTATATCATTTTTGTATACTTCTGTGCCTACTCTTAAGTAATTTTGCATGATTATTAGGAATGCATGAATATTTCCCCGACAGTAAACATCACTACAAATTCTTCACCCTGCTGATTAATCCTTATAATAAGATGAATACTTAACCTTCTTATAATCATATCTGTGATCATGCTTTACGTAAATATATAATATTAAATGACTGTCGTTTCATTAAACACGTCGTTAACAAACCTAATATAATGAAGAGAAACTCCAGTTTAGTATAGTAAGCTTTTTTATGGATATTCTGATATCGCACCAGTGCCACTTGAGACATTTGTTGTAAAGTATACACTCACTGACTACTGAATATTAACTAATCTCATATTTATCTTGTCTAATTCTACATACCAAGTTGCAAAATAGCCATTCGTTTGAAACTTACTCAACATCGTTTCCCCTATGTTTTAATGTTATGTGGTGGCTGGATGCATTTAGCGAAAATGCTTTACATTGAATACAAGAAGACTTTTCAATCTAGCCTAAAATCAGTGATGTATAAACTTGTGTAAAAGAAATCCTTGGGCTGAACTCAATTCTAATAATGAACACTTACAATGCGAGGTTTGAATGGTGGTTGGATTTCCAAATTTGACAGTTTATGCCAATCAATGTGACGATAAAATTGATGCTGCCGAATATCTTTTTCCCCATTCGGTCCAGACCCAAGCCGTTCATTAGGGTTTCGCATAAGTAACTAATGAAGCAACGCGGATAAATACAATGCAATTAACTATCAAATAATAGTCAGGTAATAATTTTTATAAATCCGGAACATAAATATTTATCTCACACACCAAAAAAATGTCTTCACCTCAACATATTAGTAGAAACAGACATAAATTTTAATTGCCAAGATTCTTTGGTGTCTTTCAGCTACTGATAGTAAATTGCGATCACTGACAAAAAAAGGAAATTAAATTATCATTTTCGGAGGTAAGATCCAATTGTTGTACTGGTGATAAAAGACGAGAAGGAGTGAAACATCTAAAGTGTCATTTAAATAATGTTTGCACTACTAGTGTGATGTGCTGCTTAACTACAAGTTCAAATGCAATAGATTAAAGAGTCACTTGTTATCAGAATAATAGATTGTTGTCCAGAGATGGTTAACTTTCTAAAATGACTATTCTGTAGCGTCGTATACCGATTAAATATCTACATTTCTCAATTATTATAGGCATGTTATGTCCCGATAAGAATAAGGAGTGGTAATTTTTGGGATCCATTTGTGGACTAATATTATACGTATAATTTTATCGTATAACTGCTAATTAACTAAACTATTCATATTCATGTCTCTCTTATCATAAGCTTTATTTTAACCTATGAACTGTTATTATACGATTTTTCATTCTTGAATTATTCCCTGTCTATTATTCACTACCTCCCACACTCACAGCCACATTTGGCCAAATCTTGTACAAATGTTGTTTCCTATTTTATGGTACGATGTGGTCTGTTTGATTAGTGTACAAACCCCGTGTGTTTGAAATAAATGATTCATATCGTAGAGGCTCAGATTGGTGTTCTGGACTTAACTGGCTGGGCTAGACAGGAAGCAGAACCAATAATCAGGAATCTATACTGCTCATATGGGTTTACGCGTCATTGGTCCGGTTTATTTGTCACTGCTCTCTAATTGGCGGTATCGTTACCTTTATACGTTAACAGGGCACGCAGGTCACAAATTATAACAAGGCAAATAACAATCATTTAAAGCAGATAAAAGTATATTTACTTTCTTTTAATTGATAAGTCCAGAAAATTCGGTCTACAACTTTAAGTGGAAACACTCCTTTCTTATCATTCCATAGACATAGGTCTCAGGGATGTGAAATTCGTCAACGGTACATGGACGGCTTATCCTGTTCTATAGATCAATAATAAGATTCAGTGTAACTTTTTTCATTGCAATCTAGCCGCAACATTTTTGGAAAATTAGGTTAATGCATGTACAACTAGTTTAAACTCCCTAAACAATTTAGTAAGCAATTTAAATCAATCTGACTTATTCAACTGATCATTAGAGTTTCTACTAAATGTGTATTTTCTGACAGAACCATCAAACAAAATCCTCATTCAAATCAGATATGATATACTTGGGATATTTATCAAACGGTATATAAAACCGGAAAACTGGTTGATCTGAGAACAAAACAAGATACATATAGGTAAATCCTAAATGAACTTTTAAATTGAATAGGTTAATTGGGATGTCTTTAGTTACTTAATGTAGTGATACGCACAGATTGTATTAGCTCAATTTTATAACTAGAAAAACGCTAAGCAATAAAGAAGTTGTACAACAGTCTGTGTCTTTTTGTGTCAGTACATATGCATATCCAAAGGTAACTGTCGACTTACACCACGGCATAGCATACAAGCTTCTCTAGACATATGTCGGGGATAAGCAACGTCTTGTGAAGCAATATTTCGAAATAATTCTTCTTCATCTTCACCATCGAATGGAGGCTAAAATCAGAACAAAATGATACTCTACATAAACACAATATTCAGTTGACATAAGGTATAAAAGTATCGAAATTCTTTAATTGACATCTCTAATCAACTGTTAATTAATAAGCTGGAATTTTAGAGATTAGGCAGCGCAAAAGAAGATGGAACGTAGCAGTTGATAATAGAGACTGCATAACGCGAAATTAATTCCATTCCCACGCATATACTTTCTGGTCGTGCTTATTTAAACGTAAGAATGTGCTCATACACATTTCGAAATGACTTTCTGGTAATTGGTTACTTTGAAAACAACTTCACACTAGCATGATCAAGTAACGCGTTACACTATATTTGGGATCAATCAGTCAAACAAAGTCTGGGACCCATTTGTTTTGGAAATTCCGAGAACTATTCAAAATGGTTTGAAGGCGTAACTACCATGTCAGCCAGTTATCAGATGGTACGACAGTTTGAAACCATCATCTGTTAAAATGATACACTAAAACGACGAATGTGGACTGAAATACTGACAAACTTTACAATTAATTGTGGTAGTAGACGTTATTGACAGAAAACCAACCGAACAATCAAATGACATATATCGCTCTATAACCAAACATTATTGAAAGTTAACTGAGAGGAATCAACTAACTTAACTATTCATTTTAAAGGTTGCACTTACTTAATATGTAGATGTTTCCGAAAAGTTCATTCAAAAAAATCTAAACAACGAACAGAGACATTAAATACGAAAATATTTCAAGATTGAAGCACTGTTGAAAAGTTAATATGAGTCACTGAGATCCACTATGCATGTGTAAACCAATAAATGGAATTTACTGGAATATGTATCGATAATTGTAAGAAAGAATTCAACCATACTTACCAGACCTGCAAGCATTTCATAAACTAATACACCAAACGACCACCAATCCACAGATTTCCCATATAGTTCGTACCGAATAATCTTGTAAAGAAATAAGGACATGTATCACATCACAAGATGATAAATTATCAAACATGACATGTTTTACAATGTGTTTAATTACTAGAAATCAATATTTACATATTAATTAATATTTACACAATACAACGTTGTATATCAGCAAAGCTTTGAACCATGACAATCACTCGTCAAACACCTATAGCAACTAATTCATAAGAGACTCTACCGTTAGACGTTAAACAAGCATTCAGCCTACAATTTTAAGTATTTTTTTGAACAACTGACTAAAATTTATCTATGTATTTAGTAACCGGGTGCACATTAAGTCTAATGTTTGCATAACTGATGTTCATTTATTATTGTATGTCCATCGTGGGTCAATGAGAAATATGTCTTACCCGAAGTAGTGTCAGACAAAGCTGATACATAGGGTGAAATATTTTCGACTTTCATAAAAATAACCTATTTTGTCTGCTTGTTTATCGATCCTAGTTAAACATAAAAAAACTTGGTTAAAGTAATCCATAATTCTAGCTATTTGATTATTAATGGTATTTCAGCAAAGGCAGATTATGGACTAGATATTAGTTGAATGCTTTAGATGAGGGTAGGGTGAATGGAAAGATGATATCACGACTTTTTGTGTTAATGAAAATAAACATATCTATTTCATCTTACAGAGGATTTAAAGAATAACATTTCAAGGTCAACGTACGGATAAAAGTTTCCGAGATCTCGCATCAACGACTATCATGTCAAACAGTATACCTATGCCTGTCACCGGTAGTAGAGCATAGGCCACCGATCAGGATTTCTTAACTAACTCCGTCGTGGTATATCGTTTACAGTTGTTTCTATGTGTCATTGATTTCTTTGATGTCTACGTCCTTATTTATCGATGATGCTATCCAGGAACGTAAAAATTTCCATCTCTTTCGGAGCTTCTCCAACAAGCATGATTAGGTTGGTGCTCTCTGTGTTGTACTTTAGAATCTTCTAATTTCCCTTGTGTATGTTAAAGCCTAAAGCTACAAACGCTAGTGCGATATTGACTATATTTAACCGCATTTGTTGCTGTGCATAGTATAGAAGAACTATGTCATCTGAGAAGTCTAGATCGTCTAGCTTCATCTAAGCTGTCTATTGTATCCTAATGCCTACCCAGAGATGTGTAGGTCTTCGGTGTTTCGACTGGTAAGTTGTCAGGTCCTGCTGCTCTCCCACTCTCATTTGTCTGACGGCCATCCTGATTTCTTCGATTGTTAGCGTTGTAAGAAATACAGGAAAGTCTGTAGGTGTCGCCTCGATGCCCAGTGGGTTCAACGAGGGTGATCTGTTCAGGAGTCCTTCAAAGTGCACTACCTACCCGTTTCACTGTTCTTGAATACCAGTATTTGGCCTTCCTTTACTAATATTTTCCTGTTAGTTTCTTCGTTGTATCACATAGTTTTCTCATATTTCCTTCTGTTGCAGCTTTTTCCATTATCATTGTTAGATACTTCACGTATTCCTGATTGTCGGTTCTAATGCTCGTCCTCATTTGCTTGTTCGCTTCTATGTATTCGGTCTGTGCCTTGACTTTTCTGCTCTTGTTCGGCTGTTATTATTCACTGTCTCCCTGCTATTCCCTTCTAGAATCTTGTCATATGTTTCGATGGAGACCCATTAGTTATGATGATGTTTGTTGCAGCTCGGAACTTCCAGACACGGTGAGGTCTGTGCTTCTTTGATGAGAGCTACTTTGAATTCGTTGAGTTTGTCAGTACCTCGAAGTAATGCAGTATTGAACATTTGTATTGCTGTTTGTTCAGTTGTCCATTACTTCTTTAGCTTCAGTTTCATATTGGCAACTACCTGGTGGTGGTCTGAAGCTATGTCAACTTTTCTCTTCGTTATCATGGTCTTCCATGATCTTCCATGGTCTTCCGAGTTTTGTATTGATGCAAATGTGATCAATCTGCTTCTCTGAAATGTGATCCGGTGAGACCCATGTAGCTTTGTGCTTGCGTTTGTTGAGGGATATAGTACCACATATAATCATTTTTGTGAAGGCACATAACTTTGCAAATCTTACACAATTTCGTTCCTTTCTTTTTGGGCTACAAATAATGCAAAGCGAAAATGTGATAGCTATGCAGTTTAGGCACCCAGTCGCAGTCAATAGTTTGCGGTAATGCACACATCTTTCTCGATTTCTGTTTGGGTTACCGGGACGCGGGGTGGATAAAAACATTTTTATCGGACTAGAACTTGGTTACCGAAATATATTAATTTAAAGTATATGTGAGAAATGTAGTCCGTTTGGTAGGTGGACAGAGTAATTTGCTAATAACGCCGCACCATACAAATGTTTATATAAAACAAAGAATTTTATTATCACATTGAAGTTTAACACTAGTAAGTAAAAAAGCTAAACTAAACAATGACAGTGATCATGTGCTGGATTAAAAAAATACAATAAACAACCAGTTACACTAAACGAATAACACTGCCACTTGATTCACTTTTCATCAGTGAGTAGCCGATATTCAAGTTAACACTTACCTCGGGTGCAATATAGTCAGGTGTACCGCAAAATGTACGTGTTTTTTTCTCGTTAATTATTCCCTCTTTACACATACCGAAATCAGCTATTTTAATATGACCTTCACTGTCTAATAGAATATTATCCAATTTAAGATCCCTTTGAGAATGTAATCAAAAAAATAATATAGTATAATTTTATCACTCGCAAAAATAGTTATTGAGATTCCTGATGGTGCAAAAGAAAACACAATATTCAGATTCAAATTCAAAACAAAAAACACAACTAAATTAAGCAGTAAAACATTAGAATATCAAAAATTATCTAAATGATATCAATTTGAGATGTACAAATGCCACTGTCGCAACAATAATGATGATATTAATAACTCAGCAAGAAAAGTAGCACAACTAATGTCTCATTTACTTATTTGAAAGTGAGACAGACTAGCGATGGTCCAATAATATTCTTCACTCGATAGGACTGTTACATAAATGTCTTGGATAATAGATTGCCAAACTGATGACATCTCTTAACCTATAGAGCTAAGATAGATTTGTAAATCATTTTACAGTTCCACTACATAGGTGGACTAGTCTAATCAGTTTTGCTGACCTTTTACTATCCAGTGAAATATAACAAAACAAATGAACGAGGTTATTCATTTGCAGGCGTTTAATGCTTGGCGGTCAAAATCGACTATCCTTGAATTCGTTATTTCTTGTTATATTTTACTCTTGCCGTCAAGTGGCTGACTTAATTTTAGATGTATTGTGGACAACTATTTTTGTATCAAAATTTATTCGAATTAATATCGTGAAGAACCTGACACAAAGGAAATAATTTGCTGTGCTTGGTAATTGTACCACTTATTTTCAGTTAAGAAATTTAGATTCTTTAAAAAAATAAGTGTGCATAAACATGTTAGATGGAAAACTTTAATTTTAATACGGAATCAGAAGGCCTACATCCGGCCAGTTAGAAACATGATTTAACAGAAAATGTATACTTCAAACATTTGAGGAGATAAAACGCGAATATCCAGCTTAGAGAAGACAAAACTCAACGTGCTTAAGTTGCTAGTACTATATTCAACCTTCAGCAAGTCAGCATACAATAACTGATAAAATAATAGTTGCACTATAATATTACATTGCATATATCAACGTAAATATTCAAAGAGGATTACTACAAGAAAACACCAAACGTGGATGCGTGAAATGTCTTCTGACTTCAAAATACGTTCTTTCTAAGTGCAAATGAATCTAATGTATCTAAGTTCACCAACATTAAAGTGATACTGTACAATCATCACCATCAAATCAGTAACATAATACAGGTAAAAAGGGACAATCTAGTTCAAGTTGATTGCCTCTAAGTGGTCTACAACGCTGATATAGGAAAAAATCGGTACCGATAAGTCAAAGCCTAACTTTTACGCCTGTTATGAGTTACCTGTTACCATTAATCACAAAACTGCTAAATTAAAAGAAATCCAATATACAAGTAAACATATTATTTTTTCGCTCACCTGTATATAATTCCATGATTATGTAAGTAAAATAAGCCTAATGCGATTTCAGCTGAATAGAATCTGAAATATAAAAGCCATGAGAATAAATAGAATGAAAAAATATTTTATTAGCTAAGAAAATGTAACTGTTGAAAAAGGACAAAAGAACGTAATATAACGTTTTATCTTTATTTCATACTCGAGTTAGCAACTAAGTAACATCATCCGACTGGAACTAACAAAAATCACCTTTTCTAAATTAAGTCGTTATAGTGCGTTCATCAGAATATTATAATTAATTCGACTGGTTTGAAGGCTAGTAATAATATCCACGTTGATATCGTAATGCTTTTAGAACTAACAATATGTGCATTGGTGTTTGTGCACGTAAGTCCCATTTTGCCCAATTATGAATAAGCTGAAGGAAATTATTCGTCTAAGATAAAGTAAGACTAGCCAGTCACTTACATGCATTTAAAATGAAATCAGAAAAAGGGAAAGACAAATATGGGTAATTCATGGGAATCGATAGACCACACACGTAAATTTTTGATAAACATCATAATACAGTAATTTAAACGAGAAATATTCTTAGGAATTAAACATGCGAAGATCAGAGCAGATCGAAGAAAGTTTAGGTGAAGATGTTATCTTTATGACAGGAACACCGATGTTACAGAAGTCATGCAACTGTAACAGTGTTTTAAATTTTATTATGTTAATACTAAATTTAATAGTTAGACATTCAATGATGTCATCCAATATTCGATCAGAATCTTTACATTTCACAACAATCTGAATGGCGAAAACAGTCAAGCTTTTCTGTGTATTTTACAAACAACGATTTAGATCAAAAGGGGTAAATCACTCACAAAAAGTATAAACCTGATTTCTTTATGACAAACGCCCTAGGTAAAAATTAGAAAACTTACCCAATATAAACAATGTAGAACTTTCACCAAAACAAGAACATAGTCAATTAGTTAGCCAAGACTTGATATTTATTATAGAAAATTGTCCCTTACAGAACCAAAAACATGTGTAGTCTAGGAAAGCGCAGCGAATATATTTGGCGTTTTTCATCACGCCTTAAACACGGTTTAACACATAACATTGACAATATGCAAAGCATTTCTCTTGTGGAATGGGTCGATATGACGTCCTACGAAGGACATCAACATCAAGAATATGGTCAATTTTCTGCCCATTTATAAAACAGAACATCGTTGCTTCGAGAACAAATTACGTGTTTTAGCTGAAGGATTTTCCTTTACATTTAAACATTTTGATTGAATTTAATCTCAGTGAGGTAAATATTAGTATGGCTAGCTGTTACTATTGAAGAGAAATCAAGCAAACCCATTGTACTTCATGGTCATGATTATATTGTCGGTTGATTACTCAGTGTTATCAAACATTTCGAAGTTAGATTATTTTTCTAAAACTCAATGGTCTATAGTTACAGAGATGGAACCTTGTTTAATAGGCGTAAAACTGGTTGAATAATCGGTTGGGGACTTTAGGATCTAATTTAGCTGTTCTCATATTTGTACATGGGGTATTTAATACATTCAAAATTAAATAAAATGTATTGCGTATAAATATCATTGTTTCTGTTATAGAACTTATGTAGCAGTAAATAAATGCAATAGATTCCTTACTGTTGCAACTACTTCAGATTACAGATATGATGTTTTACAGACTGTAATTTTTGACTACTGATATGAATTTAAAAGTAGATGTTACCGTCATTTGTCAAAATATCAAAATTTTCGACATAGGAAGAACTCTAAATAAAATCATAAATCACAGAGAAATGCGAAAACGTTGCATCAAACCGATATCAAAACATTTCTGTGAGCATCATGTAATACAGAAAAAAGTCAGACATTTTTAAAGTGATTTCTAACTGGCGAGTTTCTCATGATATACCATGACGCGAAGCAGTGTGAACGTTTCGATATTTTACAACAGCTCAGAAAAAAGTAAATTTCGTGTGTTTTGTGAAGATGTTTTTCTATTTTCACCAAAACGATATCTGTCTTAAAAAGGAAAGTTAATACATAACTATTTACCGCGTATGCCCTTTAACAAAAACACAGACCATTATGTGAGAATATCCGAAATGGATTTCCACTCATAAACCCGTTAAATGAATAAATCTTTTGAAACAACAGTATAATAATTGAATTTTCGGGACAACATAAACCATTTCAACATAGTGAGCTTTGAAGAAATGTTTACTGTCTAAGGACGGTATTGAGCCATAAAAAACCTATGCGATTAAAGAAATCTACATAGAAGCTCACAAACTAGATTTCATTTCGAAAAGCTTATAAAGGGATATGGAATATAATTTATGAGGTCGGTTGTGTATGAAGGTCTAGTCATTAAGTAAATAACTAATACAATACGGTAAACATTTTATTTATAACTGACTGATACAACGTCTATACAAATAAGAACAAGCATTTACTAAGTGCAAAATTGTCTTGTTATAAACGGCGGTATTCACGATTGTGATAGCGAAAATTCCCTTGTGGGGTCATTCAACACATTTTACTGAATACTATGATAACGGAAGGTGAAAGATTGGTCTTCCTGTCTAAGGAATGAACTAGGGTTGTTAGACTTCTCTATATGTAAATTCGAAGCTCACCGAAAAAAATGTGATGGAGTACGGTAAAATAAGAATCTCTTAGTTCTATCCATCATACAGTCATTACTTTAAAATAGGAGAAAATAAGTTCACTTTGCCTAGATTTTCGACAGTCGCTCGACGGCATTAGATTCACGACGAAACTTAATCACAAGTGTATCGAAAATCGAAGATTTAAAAACGTGGAAAATTAGAAACGTAGTTCATCTTTTCTGAGACATATGCTAACAAATAGTAATTAATTTAGTCATAAATTCAATTACTCACAAATCAATGAAACATCAGTGAAATATTTGAGTTATTTTTCCGTAAAAATATAATCGATTTTGCAGAAACAACCATTAGAAAACTATGTATTACACGTTATTCTGTTTAGCCTAAAAATGAAGAGATGATTTCTAAACTTATTATGGATAATTATGATACAAATATATCATCAGAAATAAAGACTTCAACCGTACACAGCTACAGGTTCTTTGAATTTTCCCTCTTGCTGAATGCGATGCATAAGATCTCCACCATTTACATATTCCATAACAAGATATAATCGATCCTGTGGGAACAAAACATGGAAACAAAATATAATTACACGAGTAAGCGACTATGACGAAAACTATTTAGGGGTAAATGGGTCTTAGAGATTGCTTAATTTAGTTGTGCAGTTTATCATAAAACATTAATCATAATAAAACACCTTGGTGTTTTAGTTATCACTTCCAATCTTTATAGACAGCACGCTTAAGAATAAACGAATCCATTTTGTGTTGTTATCTGAATTATATTATTTATTACTTCCTAATCATGTGATTTCTGAACAAGATTTCTTCTGTTCGATTTCCCAGTCATTTACTGTGAGTATATGAGCTAACAAGAAGACAATACAATTGTTCACCGTTACCTAGTTACCACTGGTCACTTCGAAACAAATGATATTATCCATCCATCAATAAAACAAAAAAATAGAGCAATTCACAAATTTTCAGAAACAATTTATTTGGTCTTCAACCTTTAGATCAATCACCTATATGACAGCTTTTGGATTCATTTGCATCAAGAATTTAGATCAGCTTCAATTACGACAGAAAATTATTGATAAACATGCCAGTTTTTTTTAAAAGCTGTATGCTTAGAATTTCGCAAAAAAATAGAAAAGCATGAAAATTTTTTTCAAAAAATTTGTCACTAACCATAGATTGGAAACATGAATGTAATCGAACTAAAAAAGGGGATTTATTCGGCAAAGCAAGAACTCTACGCTCTGTCATAGCACATTCTACATCATCATCTTGTAAAATTACATCTTTTTTCAGAATTTTCACAGCAAATAGTTCATCCATATGTTTCTGTTCAGCAAGTATAACCTTCAACAAAAGTAAAGATAAATTATTTTACTTCCCATAAATGCAATACTAATGTTCTAGGAAAATAAGAATGCATCATGAAACGAAAAATGTGCTTGATATGGATAGTATATAATATTACAATTAGGCTTGTTTTAAGCTATATAACGTTAGGTAACTATGAATTATAAGCCATAAGATAGACAGAAGCAAGTTTTGATTACTTTGAACTGTTACTGAAGATTTCAACAGCTAATGAAAACACACAATCAGGGAGCATTACATAAGGAAAATAAGAAAAATGTGCTACAGGTTAAATTGATTATAAGAAACGTAATTGGCCTCCATCATCAATACTCAATAAACACAGACAATAAATATTCCTTCAGTTTGGAAAAGGTACTATGAAAGAGGAAATTGCTTCCAACTAACTGTGATGGGAAATTCTTCAGAAATAATAAATAAATAATTATACACAGTCCTTCTTAAATAAGCTCAGTATTTACAATCATAGAGTATTAAGTGAAGCTGTAGATATGAACTAACTTAAGATAGAACAACTTAGTTGTCTTTTTAAAAGTCAAGTTTACTTAATAACCAAAATAACATACAGTTGATAGGTATTTATATTATTGAAAAATTGCCACTTCCACACAAAAATCATTTGTCAAATTGTAATGAATAGTAGACTTACCATTGAAATTCATAATTTTATCATGGTTATGAAAAAAAACGCATGCAATTACTTATGAATGCTATTTAACCGCATGGAAAATTTTTAGAATTTGGCCTTTAAAGGTGTAGGTAAGTGGATAGACTTTTCAGTTTAATAAATAAATATTCTACTGAAGTTTAACTAGGAAACTGTTGTTAGACAATATTAAGATAGTAATGCATTATCGTTCAAATTTCTTTCCTAACATTGAAAGTATATTAGTTTAATGAAACATAATTTATTGTAAGACTTAGACAAAGCAGTGATTTCTCTTTAATCATTAAAACGTTTCTCAATTTGATCAAATGGTAAAGCGAAATATTTAACAAAAAATGTTTATTTAATAAAAAGGTATTAGACTAACCTTTCCAAAACTACCTTTCCCTAAAACATAAAGGAAATTGAAATCACTTGGTCGAGGAATATCTGGTTTATGCTGTGATATTGTTGACGAGGTTGATATCTTATTTTGACTACTAGCCAAGTTTAAATGTTCAGTAGACATACGCTAAAGTAGAAAATAAAAATTTGAATAAAATGTCAAGAAGATGGATAGTTATGGTAAAATGAAATCCCGTTCCATTAATTAAATGATAATTTTCAATGAACGCGGGTGTAGCTCTATGAAATGTATCTGGAAATTAATGAAATGCAATTACTTTAAAAGTTAGTAAATAAGTATCATTAAACATCGTGTATATATGTGGTATCATCAAACAATTTACAGATGAACCTATAAAAGAATTATATTAAAACACTAAAGATTAATAACCAGAATAAACTATGCAATTCACAAAACAGTGTATGCACGTTGACTGTCAACAAAAACGTACAATTACAAACAATTATTTCTTTACTCAACATAGCCCTGCTAGTTAACATGCTGTTTAACAAGTCATTTATATAATTTTAATTCAGGTGAACTAAATTTCCTTTATAACACGAGACGGAAAATCTGATAAATCGCCTGAAACTGGTGGTTTCAAATAGATGCGCCATAAGTTATTAGTGCTGATTTTCAAGTCAAAAATTCTGTGATGAAACTCCAGATTTTTTCAAACCACAAACTTGGGTGAACACATACCAAAATGGTTGCAAAAACAAATGGATTCCAATGGTCAAATAAGATCACAGGATAGACAGACATCATCCTCCATTGCGAAACATTTGATTGAGACGGGTCATAAGGTCGACATCAAATCAGCATTTGTAGTGTTATACAAAAGCCTTCAAGGACGTATACTAAGGTTTATTGAAGCCTTGGCTATACGGAAACTAAAACCCCCTTTATGTGTTCAAAAACAATTTGTCCTTACACTAAACCTACCCTGGTAATACTGATTTATTATCCAGAGTGGTAATCACATTTGTTTTTTGTACTTTAATATTTTTCCTTTGTCATGACTTACTCTTAACCTGTCTAGTTGACCTTTTATTTTTATATACAAACTTCTTAATTTAAGCTATTAATTCCTTTTTAATGGAGAAAAATAGTTACTAAACCATTTATATCATCTAGAAATTAGAGCACTATCGAGAGTAACATATTACGAAAGAAAGAACATGACTATTGCAGAAATGACAAATCAATAAAATGTAATACACCTCATTGCTACTTAAAATCTGTTAGCAAATAAAAAATCATAAAGGTTAAATAAAATCAGTGCAGTACGTCTGAGATCTGACTGAATAAACATTTATATTCATGGTATGAAACGATTAATGTGAACAGCTTAAAATGATGCTCATATACTCTCTACTATCCAACACACATAAACAAACATATGGCAATTAAATTACACAGGATAAGGACTAATTCACAAAAAGATAAAACTCAGGTGTTGTATGAGTTATAGGATATTTCCGCAAAATAAACTAATTGTAAAAATGGGACATCGAAAGTCACCAAGAAAACAAAATACTTATACGAGCACGGATAGATTTTCTAAGCAGCTACTTCTATTTAACGAGTAGGTGTAGTTTATTCTACGTAACCACACCGGTGAATAGGGTCAAGACGAAGATTTATTAAATCTAACCACATTCGAATCTCTATAAATATTGAAATTAAATAAATACTCAATCAAACATAACATACGTAATGATTACCAAACTGGTCAAAAGATCACACGAGCATGCTTCGTTTGTTTCTGGAAAACAATCAACAATGACCATGAGTTCATGAAATGATGCTTCATTGAAAAACCATATACGTGGACAATAATCAAGAATAACAACAGCAGCAGAGAGTGAAAAAATTAAATTACAAGTTACACAAACATTGAAGATGACAAATAAGCTGACTTTTGGTAGTTTTGATAATCTCTAAGTTCTTGCTTTAGTTAATCTCTAAGTATGTAACTAATTATGGAAATCAAAGACAATGGTCAGAACGACGTCTAGTTAGAATCAATGTATGTTCTGCGGAGATCCTCCCAACAAATACAGGAGTTAAACAATAGAACAGTAACATGAAAACGAGCTAGTCACTTGAGGTAATCAGTGCTCTCTCTCTCTCTCTGTATATATATATATATATATATATACGAAAGAAAAAAAGTGAACCGACAAAAGAAGTCTTTGGCGGGACGACATTTATTGTTTGATAAAGGTGATAGATGGACACATGTCTTTGAGGATTAATGTTGATTTTAATCAGTTGTGGATCACTAGCCTTTATTTGGGTGCCAATACATGAGAAATCATATACATAATGAAATGAAACCTTATGGTTAATAGATGGATTTACAAACCTCCGAATTTGACGTAAATGAAAATGTTTCAAATTCATAAGAGTCAATTGATTGATGTACAATTACAACTTAATGAGCAAAAAATTTTCAAATGTACAAAAGCTTCACTGATTAATCGGTTCACACTATTTTAGTAATCCAGTCTTACAAGCCGATTTCATCTAATGACCAACAGTTGACTCCAGAAACACAGTTAACGTAGGAAAGCCTTATATACCACCAGTATTGCTAATGAATACTTTCACGTCAAGTGGTTACTGTTATGGGTTAAATGTTTATCTTTGAATAGTTTCATGACTGATTACACTTCCTTTAGGTTTACTTTTTCATCAACCACCATTTTTGGGAGAACTAAACAAAAACTACACGTTACTGTAATTAATCCCAAAATTTACTGTGCCAATTATTTTTATCTCTGTAAATCTTGTCAACAATATTAACTAGTGAATAAAAGGTCACTATAGTTACTGGTCAGTGGATTAATTTTTTTCTCTGCAACTGAAGCATTTACTGAGATAGATTATCTTATAATCAGAAAAGGATAGCGTGGGCTCACATAAAAACACCGCAAATTACGATAGAATAATGATACAACTCAAGATTCGGCAGTTCCCAAAGTTGTAATTTTAAATTATCAGATGTAATCAAAAAGGTCTCTAATTTAACAATTAAATATTACAGTTAACTGTATGACAGGCTATTAAAAAGCAAAACAGCCTAGATAAGTATTTATTGCTGCTTTTCTATTCAGGAATGAAGATACCATATACGAATTAATATATGAAGATGTCATTTAAATACATGCTACAAATTTCTGCCTCAATGGAACAGAAAGACGTCTCAACAAAACACTAAGTGTCCTATCATTTACATATGAGAGTGGAATAAAGAACAATCTCTCTAGAAGTCGGTGCACAATAGAAAACTCGACAAAAACCAAACACGCTTTTTATGAAATCCCACAGCCTGAATCAGTGATAGTGAAGAAGAATAGGTGTCATAAAGAGGTCAAGCAAAGGAAAACATGAGAACGGGATAGTTATGCTCAAATCTGTTCATTCATACATTATGAGAACGCTTTAACTAAACAATTCTTTATGCGGTCTTCATTCATGGATGATAAAAAGGGATTTTAAACTAAGTTATTAGTCAAGCACTAAGGCTTAATCGATGGTCCGCAAGAGTGGTTACTCGAAGACAACTGGATCAGATCCTACTAGTACTCAGACATCGAAATTCTATTCATCATCCTAACATAAATGAATTTGTCCACTGATTAGTACCATATCACATTTTACTATGTCCAATATTTAAATATTTATATATTATCCAGTTATTTTGGTATACCTTCTGTAATCTAATGAACATAGTAGTATTATCATTCATATGAATAATAGTATGAATCACGGATCGCTGTTACAAAGGTGTAGGGCTAATAATCTTGTAAACGATTGGATGCTTGGGGAAGGGAAAATTTAGAATAATGATAATTATAACCACCTAATATTTAGTGATAGACATAATCGGAATTGCTAATATTACAATGGAGGCGGAAAATACTAAACAGAATACGTTCATATATATTTTTCACCAATGGGAAATCAATGGAGTAAATTGATTTTGACAACATACTTATTAAAATATACATGTTTACACAAATACGGTATTAAATGATTAGTTTTTTGTAGATAAGCGTCCTTATGTTCGTTAAAAACAAGCCTCAGATGGCCCTAGCTGCGATCTAAATACATCAATGAAGAATTAGATTGCAGGGCAGTGGATGTCTAGCATGAACGTCCTAGATGAAGTAATTATATTTTGGCAAACAGTCATGTTCGTCATAGAATATGAAGTAAAGGTATTATACTGACTACTTTCATTAACGTAAATATCGGTGTAAGTAAAAGGTGATATTTAGCATGTAAAGTATGAAGAGAAAGTCCTGCTCTGCTGATCTCGGTTGGATCAACTGAATACTGCTACTAGTTCTTATACAAAGAATTACTCAAAACGACGTACATGAACCACACCTTGATTATTAAGTTACATTGTTAACTAAGCAGTGGAAAATCGTCAGTTGTTGCTTCTTTATGAAGATCAACGCTGCTGCTGGTTTTCACACAATTCAGCTAACGAAACTCTACGATGTGAAATCCAAAGAACGACCTACTATCCTGTATGAAATCATATGTCCCGGAAATTAACACTTCCATCAAAAAAGCACCACAGATGAACACTGTTGAACTGATTCATTATAGGGATGAAAATCCGTATAAAAGTACCGAAAATATCAAAGCATTTAGCAAAAACATGTTACACAAGCCACTTTCAAACTTCCTGATAGTCTTCAGATAATCAGTTGGGAATTACTGAAATATTTGATAGGTTTATATCAGGCAGAATTAAACATGAAAAGTTAAGGTGGCTGTACACTAAAACGCCATAAGAAAATTTGTTATTCAGGCTATTTGTGTACTGAAATTTCTCGTTTTAATTAAAATTGATATCTACATCCCGAAAACCCAAATACTGTAAAACAGGCAAACGATTCATAACTAATGTAACTGAAGGCAAAAAGACATTGGTTTAACTTGAACATATTAAGCAAACACAACTTACTTCCATACGTTTACGCAATTCTAAAACAGCCGTGTTAGCTTCATCAATGCATGGTAATGAATAAAATTCGCCCTCCTCTTGATTTAATAGTTTGTACCATGATGACACAGATTCTTTAATGATTTCACTAACCCCAAAGGAAAAAGAACCCATAAAATCATTTCGAGAAGTACGATCCCAGTCCCAAACTTCAACTGAAAGACGCTTCGAATGATCGTCATCTGATATAGCACTTAAAAATCAATAAAAAAATGGATATAAAATCATGTAGAAAATCTTTACTTTTTAATCTAACAAATGCATGCAACTGCTAAACAGTTTTGAATAATATAGATCGAATAACCGATTAAGCAACTACGGAAAACATTTAAAAATGTGTTTGTTACAAAGACAACAAAGGAAAACGGGACCTAAAACACCAAGAGACAATGGTGAAATTTCAACTCAAATGTGTAAACAATCATTTTTCACTGACTTTCAGATTTTTTAGGTATATTATTCCTATTCTAGTTTTATTTTGGTTAGCTTGCTTTCAGTTTCACCTGTATCACGTAAATCTATTTTTCTAATAACTGGAATTTTACAGATAAATAATTTCTATTGTTTATTTGTTGTTTAAGGTAATAAGGTTAGTTTAGTTAGTTAGCTGGAAATATATCTAAGACAAAAGTTTTTGTTTCATTTACTCGTAAAATAGTAAACAATGGACCATAGGTCAGCTGCTTCTTTGTAGTTTTAGTAATTATACTGATATAAAAATAAATGTAGGTAATGTTTTTAAAGAAGTGAATCTTCAATGTTTCAGTTCGCTAATATCATACACGGAATGGGAAGCATTATTTGCATCTAAAAATTGCTACAACCTAGTAAAAGTCATTTGATTAAAAAGACAATAACACATATGATATCAGTGAAACCATCTATGAGGCATGCGTTATACCACCTTTAAAGAACATTTGTGATATAGATTTGATTCGATCAATAGAATGAGGGTGATATAGGCTTACTTCGTAACAATAAAAGGATTACCTGAATCATACCAAAACAATGGCAACCAGTTTGTAAGTAAAAGAAATATTTTGAATTATCGAGATCCAGAATTACTTCTATAAAATTAGCAAGAGGCTGGAACCCGACTTACATTGACTCACATTCTGTATTAATATACTATCACTTAATAATTTTTAACAAAATTTCCACCTACGCCTTCGTGTTAAAATTTAGTTTAACACTGTTTATCAGTCAATCTCAGGAGGTGCATTAGTAGGAAACCTTATTAAGCATAATGCATCTCTTTTATCAACAAAACAGTATCTAAAGTGGTAAAAGTTAGGTCATTTCCAAAATTCTAATCAACATATTGTACACAAATACTCAATCAACTAATTCTTTTAAGGTTTAATTACTAAAACTATCTTCGACAATTTAATCCGGTAAAAAACAGGCTGATATTTCCAATGGCAGTATCGAATGCAAATTAAGAATATTGCCAAACTTTATTGATTGGCTTCTAAGAAAGGAGTTTGAAAAAACGATCAGTAAAAGGCCAAATTACCAAATATTTGTTATTACTAAATTGCACAAAGTCATTGAGAAGAAATGCCTAAACGTAGCATTTTGGAGAGTATCATGATTAAAACAAGATGTTTCAATATCACTAGTATCTTACCAATTATTTCCAGAATTACACCCCATCAAATAAATTACATTATTGTTTGAGCAGTTAATGAAAACTAAGGTAAAGGACAATATAAACCAGTGCTTTTAAAAATTTGAAACGAAAACATGAAACAACTAGTCATTTAATTGGTTAACTAACGTTTAGGATATCTATAAGAGCCTTTCATATTATGTCAACGTATCTGCAATTGGTTTTCGCGAAATATAAATAAGCTAAAATGACTTTTGTTCGATACTTTGATTTAACTTGAAACCAAAATCGAATACAACCATTCGGATAAAAACAATACGTAAAATCCATGAAAAAAATTATCACAACTCCATAAAACTCCATTTACAAAAAATTAACATGTTTACAAATTTAATGATGATTTAACTCATTCCCGTTTTCTTTTAGAAAGAATTGGATTCTACGGATTTAAAATAACAATACAAGGTCTTGGTGATAGGCTCATATCAACAATGGTAATAAAAAAAATTAAAGAAAAACAGGTAAATGTTTACTTAAATAAAATGGAAACCTTTCCAGTTTTCTTATCGACTATGAAATGGTAGAAACAAAAAAATACTTACGTTTGTAGTTTATCTTAAATAACCTAGCTATTTGCAAAAACGAAGTTTGATTGTTTATGTTTTTTTTTATATTCTCAATCCTCAAACCAGTCTTCATCTGTAGTGTTGTAACATTGATAAAAAAGGAAACAATTTCGGTACAAATGTTGAATGTTTTTTATTATAACTTATGTTACCGGGAAAACCACTGGAGAATTAGATGTAGAGCAGTAAGAGTTCCCGATATCAACGGATATTTATTACGCTATAAAGTTTTCAAGGTTCTAGTACGAATGGGATTTCATTAAAAAATATGCTGTTACCGTAAACATTTGTGCAGTATCTACGATTTCCACAAACTATACATGGTTTACAATACCATTAGTATGAAAAAAGGTTACATCACATCAAGTTAAATACATCAATACTTTTAGTTTATAGATATAGATATATAAAGATATATACTACTAATTATTAATAAAATAGAGATGAACAACTGAGCCCTATCAAAGATTGTATGATTCATTTTAAAATATCAAAACATTAGATTAAGCTATTATAGTGGAAAAGTTTAATTTCAAAGTGACTATCAATTAAATGAAGATTTAGATGGTGTTTTAAGAGCCTAAAATAACCTAAAAAACTGTAGTGGCTGTTTCTTGTAACTCTGCTCTCATAATCATTAGTTTTCAAGGAATCCCAATTTTTGGTGTAAGTGGTATACAAATTATTATTTTTAGTAGACAGGCCATATACATATCATTCATCTTTGAAAAGAATTAATAGACGATTGCTATTGGTTCAGTGCTACGTAGTTGCACTGAGACGATAACGTGTACGTATACATATGGATAAATGCAAAAATGTCTTGGATACCAGTTATATGATAATACCAAGAGTTTATTCAACGAAATAGCTATAAAGTTAATGGAATTGTGAGAAAGGTCCACGGATGAACTCGAGGAAGCTCTAATAAGCTCAGAAAGAGCCAAAGATATTCCATCCAATCATCTTCTGGGAGAATATTCCGGAATCCCCGCGTGTAACTTCCCTATTGGATAAATGCTAATAACTGACTGTATGCAGATTGGAGGACTATAACAATGATTTCGCTCTTACTAAAAACTATAAATACCTGACAGTTTTGAACCATAATTGACACTGTTCGGAATAGCATTTCTTTCATTTGTCTTCTATCTTCTCATTTGCGACTTGAGAATGTTCTAGCGTTCAAGAATTTCACATATAGTAACTACTCCAGTAGTAGCAATAATTACAATTAATGTTAATTTACTTAGGTTCAGATAGCACATTCGACATTGCATGATTAGGTGTTGTTTACACTATAAATATCTAAATCATAAATCCACCTTGTGAAAATAGAAGAGACAGCTGTTAACGTGAATAGAATAAATACAAACTAATGCGATTAAAAATGGAGAGTTTTCTACTCAGTTGTTAAAATAAGGACGATGATTTACTTACAGTTTAAACGAATATTTCAGTGAAAAGAATTTTATTTGTCAAACATTTGACTTTCATTAAACTATCCAATCACATGTATATGAAATATTTATTGTGGTGACAAGTTTGCTTGGTGGTATGAATGCTTATAGTGAGTACGGTTAGCGAATCATTCAAACCGACTTGAAAAGATAAGAATATCATAGAATAAAGATCAAAGACACAATGATTAAGTGTAAAACTATGGTGAGATTATTTTCCTAAGTGGATTACTATAAGAATAACAGTTGATTAGAAATAAGATATCAAATTTAAAAATTCCAGCTGAGAATGTTAGAATGGAATGAATTTATGAAGACAAGACATTATGTGATTGTTATGTCTGAAGAGATTACGAGTTCACTTAGTCTGAGAACGGAACGAACACTCTGTAACATGATGACAAATAGACTGGCTATTCTGACGCGTCCCAGCCCCACTAACTAGAGAAAGAAGTTCATGTTCGGAATTGGGAAATATATTCCACAAGCAGCCAGGAGCACGAACAGCCATGACAAGTCTATTCGAAAATACACACATTTATATATTGATTAATCCACCCATTTTTCATGAATAATTAGAATGAAATCACATACATGAAAAATACCCAGTGTTATAACAAATCATATGCTGAGTGTCATGTTGAACATAGTTCAGGTTAATTGAATAAAAGAATATCGTATATTATACAGAAATAAAATGTCATAAGGGAAAACAGTAACAAATACAATATTGAGTAATTATCACATTGAATTAAAACAGAATTAATGTTGAACAATAATCATAACAAGTAAATCAATCTAATTTTGACTTTTTATCCCGTCATATCAGTGACTTAGAGACAAAAAAAGAAAATATATATATCTGAAAAGATACACAGTTAAGGAGGAATATTAGTTCTACCATAGAAAAAACTATCCTATAAACTGTTTCTAAATGTACAAATCTGAGTTTAAAGTGCATATAGCCAATGTTCATGCGGTCCATAAATGTAAGTGTAAAATAAATTGATTAGCCATTCTGATTGATGTCTATGTCACACAAGCCAAAAATCGAATGAGCCAAAAACAAGTATGTTTTTAAAAATGAACCACTTTATTTTTTATGACGAAATTGTATGAAATCTAAAATACGTTTTCAAAACAATCAAAACTTTAGTAAAAACGGACAAAATATCACAATGAACCTAATAGTAGATTCAACAGATGATCTTACAGGTAAAACGTCTCATTCCATACAGGATTTAGGGTAGATCGACAAACTTTCGTTTTCAGCTTGGATTTACCACCCTCGTCACTGGGCAGCAGTTTGATTTTCACATACGGATCTGCTAGACCATTTGGATCCATTGGAACAAGATTTTTAGCTTCGAAAACTATAATTAAAGAAAAATGAAAACATATTCCAAATATATGTCTATAGTGTGAAGTGTCAAAATGAAAACTGTTACTCAATCTTTTTACTTAATTCTTGAAAATCTTTTAGTACTCAAATAAAATAACCTAACAAATTCCCGCTGAAGATTATCGTACGCCTCGATGAACCGGTACTAAATTTGAAATTCTTAGTCGTTAGTATTAGGTCTAAGGTTTATGTTTCATTTGAGACAAAAAGAATAGAAATAAATGCTTTTGGTTTTTGATGGGGATTTAATCGATAAAACCATACAATAAAAGTATTTGCAAATCCTTAAACTAGAGTTCCAAATCAGAGAGCAGACACTTCGGAAATTTCTCGGGATCAAGATCATGTAGTTAAATGTACAAATATACACGTATTGATCGGAAAGGAATAACTGTTACTAATATATCAAAAGAACAACAGTTTATAAGAAAACTACAATATAAATATATATCGCGTCAATCTTTAAGATATAGTTTGTGTGAGGTAAAGTGATGTTAATTATATATGGTTCTAAACAAAAGTGAATGGGAATCAGGCGATCTAGCCACTAAGCCATTGTTCTACATGTCTTACACTAAATAGAAAACAACTTGTGGTATTGTTGTTATAATTAAAGGTTCACTACTTTTATTCAGCTCTAACAACAGTATTAAAAATCTATTTCATTAGAGAAAAGTGGTTAGACTAATAAATGTTCATTAAACAGTTTGCATGAAAACATTATGCATATCTTCGATAACAATGTAATCGAACGAACTGTAGTTTAATTCACATGATAAATATAAAGGTTGATCGTATTCTTGCAAGTCACAGATTTATTAAAACGAAATAGTTGGGAGACATTTTGATGCTAGTCAGTTTCGGAACTAATGGCATCGTGTTGAACTTTATAAAAATATAAGAGGGAAAAAGCATATTTGTGGTTAGATTTTGCTAAGTTTCTTATCACCGATATAAATGCAAATAAAATTTTTCATTCATTTTCATTTCAATTGATAAAACGTGGCCATACAAAAGAAAGTTGATATTATATTTTAAATCTTAACAATATTGACTGACTTTTGAAGAAGATTGTCCTCTATGAAAAATAACAACAACAAATATTAAAAACGAAAAGGTATCTGGATAGCTTTTCAATTAAATCCGGTATTTTATTGAGTTATCCAGATTTCTATACACTTGTTGATAATGAACAACAGTAAAAGTGATTCTGTAACTTAATCATTTAAAACTTAGTAACTCTTTTCGGTAACAAAAACTAGTTTGATGTTTCCACATATTTTTCGACGAAGCAGCTAGTTATCCTCAGTTGATTGTGTAAAATAAATCAGACAAACCAGACAAACATTAAATATTACAAATTAGACGGTTTCATGATTAGTAAACATAAAAATGTGATTCTCGCAATACTGCCTACAGGGAAATGATCACAGATAGACAAATACATAAATATATATGCATATAGTAGCAATAAAGAGAGAAGATTTATGGTTGTTCATATTATATCTTCATTTTATAATAATATAAAAACCAGAAATAGAAAAGATGGCAAACAACAGTTAAAATAATCAAATTAACAATAGTATCGAATTAAAACAAACAACCTAAAGGACTGAGAAAACTGATAATGAGAAATATATATGGTTAGACAGTTGAAAAAATTCAAAGGAAAACCCAGAACAAATGAATTCGTCCCAGTAATGTAAAACATCAAAGCAATAATTAGATGTACGCGGTGTATTCAAACTGATCCCAAATGTTGATAGGCGATTTTTCAACCCTTCAGTTACTCATTAGCAACCTGACATTTCATTGTATGGTGCGTCAGTATAAATAAGAACATAAACAGCTGTTATATAATGATTTTAAGTGACCAGTAGGCATCCTCAAAAGGTGTCATCTTTTCCATTTAGATACACCAGAGACATATCTTATTGAGACTGCTAAAAATCGTGCACAGTTTTCCAGATAGTCGAATTTCATAAATGAACTAGTTTTTGAGTCGTAAAAACCGACACAGAGATTTCTAATACTGTAAATAATTGTAACTCCGCCCGAAGCTCTTCTAGAGTTATTGCCGATCCAAAGACCGAGTAAAGGAGGAGGGTTGGTCATGGGGTTAGCAACCCCATCTCGTAGAAAAAAATCTTGCTAAAAAACGCCAACCCGATTAAACAAATTAAACCATTTCAACCCTACCCTGGGAGTTGAAGGAAGAATTATGACGCCTCACGATGAAAGCCAAGATTCTTCGGAAGTCACAAAGCCGATGTCCCTTCTAACAATTTACATAAGTATATGGAACGTCCGGAAAACGTGGGGGACAGCGGTGACCAGTCAAATAGCTATGGAAATGAGGAGATACAGCTTGGCAGTACTCGGAATCAGCGAAACTCATTGGACCTAAGCTGTACAGCGAAGGCTAGATACGGGAGAGCTGATGCTGTACTCCGGTCACGAAGAGGAAAATGCTCCACACACTAAGGGAGTTGCTCTAATAGTGTCCAAAGAAGCACGTAATGAACTTGTAGGATGAGAATCTCACGGATCTAGGATCACCAAAGCATTCTTCGAAATAAAGAAGCAGGGAATCACGATGAAGCTATTATGCACCCACCAATGATAGTATTCAACAACTTGGTCATAAGTAGCACAATATTCCCACACAAAGCTATCTGGGTCTCACCAGACCACACCATAGAGAACCAGATAGATAATATCTGCATCAGTAAAAAAATTCACAAGGCCAATGGAAGACGTGAGAACCAAGAGAGGAGCTGACATAGCTTCACATCACCACCTGGTGCTTACCAAGATGAAACTGAAGCTAAAGAAACAATGGACAACCAGACAAACAGCATTAGAAAGGTTCAATACATTTGACGGTGTGGATAGGAGAACATTATAGGATCTTCTTCGACACTGCGGTGTACCTGATAAAATCGTCAACATCATCCGGAATTCATACGACGGAACACAGTGTTAAGTCGTGCTTGGAGGAAAGCTCACAGACTCATCTAGAGTAAAGACCGGTGTCAGGCAAGGTTGCTTACTCTCACCCATTCTCTCTCTCCTGGTCATCGACTGGATCATGAAGACACCAACATCTGGGGGGGGGGGTAAGCATGAGATACAGTGGACAGCTAGGATGTAGCTGGACTTCACAGATGATCTGGCTTTTCTATCCCATACACACGAACAAATGCAGATAAAGACAACTAGTGTAGCAGCAGCCTCTGCATCAGTAGGCCTTAACATACACAAAGGGAAAAGCAAGATTCTCCGACACAACACAGCATGCACCAATCAAATCACACTTGACGGAGAAGCTTTGGAGGATGTAAAAACCCTTATTTATCTTAGTAGCATCATTGATGAGCACGGTGGATCTGATGCAGATGTGAAGGTGTGGATGGGTAAAGCAAGAGCAGCATATCTACAGTCGAAGAACATCTGGAACTCAAAACCAACACCAAAGTCAGCATTTTCAATACAAATGTCAAGACAGTTCTACTGTATGGGGCGGAAACTTGGAGAACTACGAAAGCCATCATCCAGAACATACAAGTGTTTATTAATAGCTGGCCACGTAAAATACTTCCGATCGGTTGGCCAGACACTACCAAAAACAACCTACTGTGCAGAGAACAAGCCAGATTCCAGCAGAAGAAGAAATCAGGAAGAAGCGATGGAAGTGGATACGACACCCATTGAGGAACGCATACAACTGCGTCACAAGGCAAGCCCTCATTTAGAATCCTCAAGGCCAAAGGAAGAAATAAGGACTGAAGAACACAGTATGCCGACAGATGGAGACAGAAATGAGAAGAATGAACAGCAATTGGATAGAACTAGGAAGGAAGACCCATGACAGAGTGGGTTGGAGAATGTTGGTCGACGGCCTATGCCCCATTGTGGGTAACAGGCGCAAGTAAGTAAGTAACATATAATTTTGTAAATAAAATGTGAAACTAGGATTAATAATATTATGAGAAATACTTATGTGCTGGGATCTAAGAGGGATGGTTACCTCAAGCACTTGAAGGTGACTCAAGTACTAATATATCGAAACAAATAACTAATTAGGCTAGCGGTCAAACTTAATAATCATAAACCTTCATTATCAATAAAAAATCAGCATTCCGACTTCATAAAAAATGTAAAATGCATAGATAGGATTGGGTCACATTCCACTGATTCGCAATCTACACGTACATGGTGATATGCAAACATAATTAGCAACAATCACAACTTACAAAGAAATACATGAATTGAACAATTTTGAATTAAAATAAATCAAGAGAAAAATAAGGTCATGTGTAGCACTAACAAAAACAGTGCTTTCAGGTTTTCCATGGTGGTCTAGCTTAAATGGATTCATAATTTCAACCAGTGAAATTCCTAAAATCTCCACACAATCCCTTTTGATAATAATAATCATCTGCTCACTAGTGACTGACTTCAAGAGATACTCCTGAAGTTCTAGTGAGAAGTCGTTACCAGTGGAGTTCAACCAGGTCTGTTGTGAGATATCAGCTCACTGAAGACAATGGTGTACGGTGGCGCAACTTCGTGGATTGGTTGAAGTTAGACATTATCACCGTTGGATGCCGGCTCAGTGGTCTAGTTGGTTAAGCGCCTGGCGCGAGACTGATAGGTCCTGGGTTCGAGTCTCGTGAGGAGCGGGATCGTGGATGCGCACTGCTGAGGAGTCCTGTACTAGGACGAAACGGCCGTCCAGTGCTTCCAGGTTTCCCATGTTGGTCTAGCTTCAATGGATTCATGATTTCAACCAGTGAAAAACAAGATCTAAATTAAGATGACTAGAGATATAGATATCCTGCTTGCGAACGAACATTCAAAGCAAGAATTTTTTCTAGATTTGTAACGCGGTGGCTCAGCGGCAACCGAGTAGTATTGTTGCTTTCCACATAAATAGAATTTCAAAGTCAAGTACATAAAACTCGTACT